AAAGCGAAAGTGTAGGAAAAGAAAGATGGCTACCACTACGCGCTGCTGCGATACCGAGTACCCCCACTATCACGCCGCTGCCCCCTCGTTGACGACGAGCGCCGCGGCCCAGGCCGGTGCCTCATTTTGGGTGGGTTCGCTGGCCCTGCGCGCCTCATCGTTCCGAAGAGAACACCCGCCCACTGGAACGGGCCAAGCCGTGCCCATCTGCATCCTGGCCGCGCACCACCTCAACAACGGCGAGGCCCCCAAGCATCAAGAGCAAGTGTAAGTCCTCTCCTCCTCCACGTCCCCCACGTTTTGCGGCGGCTTACCTTGGGTGAGGCGTGTTTCATACTTTGGTCGAAAACCAGGAACGCCGAGGAGTGGCCGCTGCAGTTGACCGTGGCGGGTGTGTGCACCCTGAGGCAGGCCCACGTCGCAGTTCTAAAGACAGCCGTCCCTCTGCTCTTCCACGTGCTCTCGGCCGCTGCCCCGCCTCAGTCCACCACCACCCTGCCAGCGGGTCCAGAGCCACCGACGTACCTTGCTACCCTCATCAGCCAGCTACGAAGCAACACCCAGGTACACCCAGGCTCGATCTGCAGGCCCTCGCCGAGCCGCTGTCGCTGTCGCTGGTGGCTCACGCGTGTCTGTGGCTGTGGCTGGGATCAGGCGGCAGTGGTGCGGCTAGGCAGGCGTACCCTGATGATTATGCCCACCGGGAGAGCGCTGATGGGCTTCCTGGTGTCGCCCGCGGCTGTCGACTTGACTTCGCAGCGGAGCCTCGCCGCTTCGAGCCTGCTCTACCGCTGCCTGCAGCAGCTTCGAGCAGAGGAGATGGAGGAGGAGGCGAGAGAGGGCCTCCCCGAGATCGGCAGCACGGACCACAGCACCACGAGAAAGAAGAGATCGAGGGAGGAGCACCAAGCGAAGGAGGTACCAGCACCGGAAGAGGCGTGCACCAAGAGGCGTGCACTGTCGCCACCTGAAGACCCACCGCGACCTTGATAGAAGAGAAGACAACAAAAAAAAAGAAAAAAGAAGAAGAACAAGAACAAGACAGTGTTCGCCATCGGCGAGAAGCAGAGATATGTACCATTACCGAGCCACAGCGGCGGTTCACCAACGCGAACTGGGCACACTAACCACAGTTGGTAGCATCATGAAGAGAGAGAGAGAGAGAGCAGGCGATGGAGGATAGAGATAAGTTTAATGCGCTCGCTACGAGGTACTGAACAGGAGAAGGAATGAAGGAAATCAGAACTCCACGCCGCACATAGGGAAGTCCTTGCTCTTGATGAACTTGTTCTCGGGCCGCAGTTTCATCTCTGCAGGTGGGTAGAAGTCAGAACAAGTAATATAATCGAATTTGCATCAATTTAAAATAAAATCATGGGTACCCCAGTTGCCACGGTCGTTTTTGACGGCCTGCACAACATGCCCCCGCACGTAGGCGATGGTGTCGTTGCCTCGCGCGATCAGGTCATCGATTTCTTTGGCATCTTGCACGCCTGGCCGAAATTGGATTTCAGAGATTAATTTGCGAGTAGAGGGAATGAAAATGCCCGTACCTCGATGGGCCTCGAACTCCTGTCGGATGAGGCTGCGCGCTCGTTCCTGGGCGAGGGCGTCGCCGCTGAAAACGGTGTGCTGGGTTCGGAGGAGATCGCGGTAGACTTTGAGGGCACGCTGCGAACGCTGCATTTGTTTTATGAATGTAGATAAATTAATCGAGTGGCGTCGTTGTTTCGTCCGTATGCAAGACTTGTAGGTGAAGTCGATGTGGTTCTTCTTCTTTGTCGTTCTAATTGAATGAATGGAGATGGAAGAGTCCGGGATCACGACAAGCAAGTCACGTTGAGCTCTTCCGCCCTCTTTTCCTCGAGTTTGCTCCGCTCATTGCTGCACAAAAGCTGCACGCACGCCTCAAGCGGCTTTGAGTTGACGAAGATGAAGAGCACGACCCCGCTACGCAGGGTTGGGTGCCTCCACGCCCAGCTTGCCCCATATGTGCAGCTCGCATATCCCGAGGAGTGCGAGGCGGGCCTGTTTCGCAACAATCTGGCAGCTGCCTCAGATGACTGCGGCAAGAAGGTCGTCGCGGAGGAGGAAGACCCTCTCTTGTTCCCATCGCCGGTGCAGGCGATGGCCAGGGAGAGGGCGGCCGTCTCGTTCGACGTGAGGCGGCTCACCCACCTGCTCGAGGGCGAGGAGGGCACCAAGTGGCTCGACCTCGCCGCGCAGCTCATCGAGCGCGACCCCGTCCTCTACGACGGCCACGTCAGCTCACACGACCTCACCGTGCCCGAGCACCGCGAAAAGTACGCTGCACTGAGCCCCCTTTGCCGTTCTTCTTCTTTTATTTATTTATTTATCCAGATATTTATTACTTATTACTTATTTGGGATTTATTATTTATTTTATTATATTTTTTCGTGGTTTATTGCGGTACGTCGTGTTCCGATTACAGCGCGATGACTAATGCGAAAGCTCGGCGCGTTGCAGGACGATGCGCAAGATTGCACGGTACATGGAGTACGTGCGCCGCGGCCCGCTGTCCGCCAACGAACCACTCCACCTCGCGTTCAATCGGTACACGCCCTCCCCTCGTCGCGAGGTTGAAACGCACAACGGCCTCATGTACGCGCATGTTGCGTGCATTGCGTCGTCAGGCTCATGCACACCTACGACTCGTCCTTCTCCATGCGCATCGGCGTCCACTTTGCGCTGTTCCACACCGCGATCCACGGCGGCGGCACGCCCGAACAGATCGCGAAGTATGCCGACGACATCAAGTACGTGCACATGAGCCCCAGCTCTCTGCCCACATTGCGCGTGTGTTGTGCCGATCGGCGTCTAATTGCGCCTGCCTGCTTGCCTCCAACCCCTCCTGCGCGATATCAGGAACATGCGCGTGATTGGCTGCTTTGGTAAGCGTTGGGCCAATGTGGTCTCGTCGTTGCGGTGCCTCTCGGCTCACTATGTGCGTACGCAGGAATGACCGAGTTGGGTAACGGCACCAGCATCCAGTCGTTCGAAACCACAGCGACCTTCCGCCACGACACCGACACGTTCGCCATCAACAGGTGCGTGGCGCACCACCTTCTCTCGCCCGCGCTGCCCCATACGACCACTTGTTCACTCTGCGCGCTCCCGTATGGGACTGGCATGTCGGTCCAGTCCTACGCTCACTTCTACCAAGTGGTGGATTGGCATGTCGGCTCAGGTACATATTTCCCTGCATAGATTGGCGCTGGCTGGCTGGCTGACTCCTAACCCGCTCTGCGTTCGTTCACTCGATTCACAGAGCGCGACCCACTGCATTGTGTTTGCTCGTCTGCTGATCGATGGACGCGACCACGGCGTGCACAACTTCATCGTGCCCATCAGGTATGAAAAAACTGGACCGTCGTCTGGCCCGTTGTCGGCAATCCATCATCGCTCACTCCCTGCAAAATGTAAGGAACATGGACACTGGACGCCTCTTGCCCGGCGTGACCATCGGAGACATCGGAAGCAAGTGGGGCCGACACGTAAGCGCACTTTCATTGCGCTCTGTGTGTAGTGTGTGTGTGTGTGGCGTGTGTGTGTGTGTGTGTGGCGTGAGTGTTAAACGCCTTTCTGGGGCAGGGGCTGGACAACGGCTACCTCCGGTTCACGGAGGTGCACATCCCGCGCGAGAACATGCTCATGAAGTGGTCCCAGGTGTCGCGAGACGGCCAATACACCGCCCCGCCCATCCCGCAAATGGCCTACGGCGCCCTCGTCGGCGGCCGCGTTGCAATTGTACGCCAGCGACTCTCCCACTCCTGCCCTCTCCCCTCTGGTGCGCCCAGGACTGGTCACTCACAGCCGACCCCGCGTCGTTCCAAACACACAAACAAACAAACAAAAACAGATGAAATATTCGGCCGACATCATGAAGAAGGCAGTCACGATCGCCACCCGCTACGCCGCGGTGAGGCGGCAGCACACCGTGCAGGGACGGGATGAGAAGACGGGCAAGAGGTTCGCCCCACACCACTCCCCACTTCACACACACACACACACACACACCACACACACACACACGGCCGAGGTAGAAGACCCGGCTCATTCTATTCCTCGCTGGACCCATAAACTCTCCAGGAAGCAGCTTCACTTGTTGGATCTGCAATCGCACCAGCTGCGTCTGTTCCCGCTGATTGTACGTCACTGAGAGCAAGTTTCTCTTCCTCTTCAGAAAACGTGTGAACGCTCACCATTCGGTATGTTTGTGCTTGTGGTTGTGCTTGTGCTGTTTGTGTGACTGGCCCGCAATCGGTCAGGCGGAAGCGTTTGCGCTCCATTTTGTGACGAAGGAGGTGGGCGAACACTACCAAGTGATCCTCGAGCAGCTGCGCAACAACGACCTGTCGAGCCTGGCCGACTTCCACTCCACCACTTCGGGCCTCAAGGTTTCCCCTCACTTGGACGCCGCCCAGGCTCGGGCACGAAGAAGTCCTAAAATGAACGTGATCGCTCCACGCTAGGCCTGGTGCACGTGGGCTACGCAAGACGGAATCGAGACGTGTCGCCGCTGCTGCGGTGGCCACGGGTAACGTCTGCGTCTCTGACACGACACGACACGCATGCGCACTCACTGCCGCCGCCGCGCTTGTACAGGTTCCATTCGTACTCGGGCCTCCCCTCGACCCTGGCTGACTGGGCCGTGTTCATCACCGGTGAAGGTGCGCTGCGCCGTCATTGTGGGAAGCGAGCTTGTGCCAGGCCTAGTCTCATTCTTTCTCACTCATTCCTTCGCCCGCGTGGTCCGCCCCACAGGCGACAACATGCCGATGGCGCAGCAGAACGCGCGGTTCCTCATGTCCGCCGTTAGGAAGATCGCCACCGGCAAGGGCGACACTCTGAAGGGTACCTCCGTGCAGTACCTCCACGACGGCTTTGAAACGATCGGTACCTTCGCACACGACACACAAGACACGACACGACACGCACGACACGCTAACACAACACTGCTTGTCCGCCATAGCGTTGAACATGGATGAGGCGCTGCGGCAGCTGCGAGCGGACATCAGCGCCGGCGGCAAGTCTGCGCTGTTAAACCCTGCGACGCAGGAGAAGATCCTGGCCACGCTGGCCCTGGTCTTCATCTTCCGCACGGCCAATAAGATGCAGCAGGAGATGAAGGCCCTGAAGCAGCAGCAGCAGGCCGACCCCGCCGCGGCGTGGAACCGGTGCATGGCCGACCTCGTCCTGTGCTCCAAGTTCCACTGCCTTCACTACATGTTCCGCTCCTTCGCCTCTACCGTCACCGCCACCGCGCAAGGTACGCGCACCACCGCGCATCATCACGGCCGGTCAAGTGCTGACGCTGGTGCCTGGTAGGCGACGGCGAGCTGGGTGGCGTGCTCAAGAGCCTGTGCGATCTCTACGCCCTGTGGAACCTCTCGGTGGAGATGAAGCACCTCCTGCAGGAGGGCGTGATGGCCGCCGAACACGCCGCCTGGGTGGACCAGCTCATCAAAGACTCCCTTCTCCCTGGTACCGTCCACAACCGCACGACACACGAAACACACGCGCGCACACGCACACACATCACACACACGCACCGCACACGCGCACTCAAGTGGAACGTGGCCACAGGGCTGCGGAGGGATGCGGTGGGGTTGGTGGACGCGTGGCACATCCCCGACTTCGTGCTGGGTTCGGTGCTGGGCGTGAAGGACGGCGACGTGTACCGCAAGTACTTTGACGCCGTGGCTACGTCGCGCTACCAGGAGATGACGCGCGAGGGCCAGCCCTTCTATTGGGACTCAGTCATTCGCCCTCTGCTTCACGACCAGTGACGCTCTCCCCCCACAGTGCTGTGTGCATCTCTTCGTCAAACATACGCTTGGCCACTACGATTAGATTCAATCGATGGAAGGCGACGAGGTTTTTTTAACTTTTTATTTTTACAGTTACATGGTGTTCTTGAGCGGAGGCTGAGGAGGGGGAGATGCGGTGGTCCTTGGTATCATCTCAGTCTCGCGCTGGAGGACGACATCTTGTGGTGGGGGCTGATGATCGTCATCAACGATTTACTCGTAGGTCCTGTGCTGGGGGTTCGACTCGAACTCGCCGGCCTGGATGTCACCGACGCGGTCGGTCCTGTGGGCGGCAGTGTCGGCGCGCGAGGCCTGGGCCTCAGACTCGAACTCGCCGGACTGGAGGTCACCGACGCGGTCGGTCCTGTAGGCGGCAGTGTCGGCGGTCGACGGGGCGGCGTCGGACTCGAACTCACCGGCCTGGGTGACCTTGTCCTGGGTGAAGTCGGCCACCTTGGGGGCGGTACGGGAGTCACCCTTGTGGGCGGCGACGAAGCCAGACTGGACCTTGGGGGCGCCTGTTCGAAACAAATAGATTGAGAGTTGGTGAGCACCAGAAGTGTAAAAGATGAAAAGATCGCAGTGTAGAAAGAAAGTGTAGAGATGGATTTTGAAAGATGGAAAAAAAGAAAGATGGAGTGGGGTGACGCACTCAGGGCAGACTTGGTGCGGACGTCATCAGCGACGGCGGTAGCCTTGGGCTTGGGGGTGCAGGTGGCGCAGTAGATGTTGCCCTGGGCCTTCTTGAAGGTGTTGAGGTTGAGGACGACGTTGCACTCGGCGCACTTGAAGCAGAGCTTGTGGTAGGTGTCGTCACCGGCCTTGAGGGACTCGAGGGGGTAAGCGTTCTTTCCGCACTTGGTGCAAGGCTTGGCCGACATTGTGTTGTGTGGTGGGGGGTGTTTGGGAAGAGGTTGGTGTTTGGGATGGATCCGATAGAAGAAGAGGCACACTGCTCGCGTGGCCACATTTGAGGCCAGAGGCCACGTTGTCCCAACCCCCAAATTGCGACTCCCCCATTGGTGCGCCTCCGCCAATAAGCCCGGACACGCCAGAATTTATCAAAATTATAAAATATCCCAGCAAAAACCGGGCGCCGTGACTCGG